CCCCCCCCCCAGTTGGAAGTAGTTACCTAAGCAGAGAACCATGCCATGTTTTCTGGTTTAAACACTGAGAAGGATATCTTGCTAGGAAACATACTTGAAGAAACAGCTCTATCAGCAGTTCTCAAGTCTATCACTGATTGTGGTCTCCTCACTTGTAATGCCTGACCCTGAATCTGGCAGAGAGAGAACCAGAGTTGAAAATCAGAACTACTTTTTTTTTTTTTAAACCCTTTGTGAAAGTTCAAGTATTTACTTCCAAACATTCAATATTTACTTTATATAACCTTTGTTTTGGCAAAGGAACTATTGAAATTACAATTTATTTTATTGGCCTTTCTGAGGCTCACTCTTCCAGGAGAGCATAGCATTGCTTTTACAGTTAGTTACCAAAAAAGATCAAGGTTTTGCATAGTGTCACTTTCATGAAGTTTTATCTGGCTGAACAGAACAATTCTCATTACAGACTATGGTGCTACCTTACCCAAGTATTGTGAGAAGAGCATTATTCAGTTCCTGCTGTTCTGTGTTCTAGATTAAACTGGGGCTCTGGTAGTAAAAGCTCGCATGGAGTGCACCTTGCAGTTACAGTTACTGTTCTGAAAGGGCTGGCAGGTTGGTTCTGGACACTGCCATGTTCAGTATATAAGGCTATGAAAACTCTTTCCAGGAGATACCTTCTGAACTAGCTTTGCTGAGCTCAGTAGGAGAGTGTTAAAAGGATTGAGCTTTGAGTTTGTAAAATTGTTACTTGATGAAGAACTTCAAGTAGCTTTAGTGCCACTTTCAGATTCTGAACTGATACTTTAGCCAGTGAGAGTAATCTGTTTCGAGACAGAGTATAGTAAGACTAGCTACAGTACAAGTGTTTTTCTGTGCTCCCAATCTTCCTATTGAAGCAAGCACTGCTACTGAGATTGAGTTCTGCTTTCAAAAGCAAGCCAGTGACCCCTGTAAGTCCTCAATGCCTACAAATGCTGCTAGCAAGACTCCCCAGATGCAAACAACTAGCACTGTGACTGATGTTCCACTGAAATTTTGGTCCTTCAGACAGTAATCCTTTAGTGGCTAAGTCTTGCACTAAAAGTACTGTCTGTTTGATTAGTATATTAGTATATTTTTCTTTTTCAGTATCACAGCACCAGCTATCCAGTCTGAAAGAGTTTTACAGCTTACATGGTCAGTTTCAGAGAGCTTAATGTAAAATGCTGTGTTACCATAAAAGCTAGAGTCTTTGAATATCAGAGAAGCTGGCCAGAGTTGCTGTGTAATCAATAGTATGTGCCTAAATTAAATCCTAATTATGACAAACCATTCTGTGGTCTTCGTGTAAAGTGGGTTAGACTGCAGGGAAATCTAATCTTTAACCACATCAATATTCACAACTTTAATTGAAAGAGAAAAAAATGAAACTCCTCCCCACACTTGTTAAAGAAAATGTCTATTTGTTGTCCTGAAAATGGGGAGTGTGGTAACCTATGTATCCTCTGCTAGCAAGTTTGCCTTCAGAGCTGCACGGGTGGAATGAGTTGATGTACATCTGTAGAAGTTCTCGTTTTTTTTTTTTTACTAATCAAGGTGCAGCTTTTCCATCCTGGGGCTCACTGGATAGAAAAAAGCTGGAGGAATTGACAGGATTATATTGCATTCTATAGAAAGGATCAGTACTGGAAAGAAGAGTTCAAGTGTTGATCCCCAGTAGTCTTACTATATTTAATGTTGTCCAAGTGCTTGTGATCAGACAAGTGTTGTATAAAGCACACTTAAATAAACATTGTTGAAAGCATGTCTTATGATCCTCTGCATTTCTATGAGCTATTAAGAGGTGACACAATTGTAATGTCACACCAGGATATTATCTGACAAACTGGGGGACTTGTCCTTAAGCCAAAAAGATTGAATCATCACCTTCCTTTTAACCTCTCGTAAGTTAGTGATGTTGGACTGATTTGAACTGGTGGCTGAATGGTAAGAGACTGCGTAATGATTCCCAGAGTTCCTCTTTTTTTAATAGCAGTTTTGCTTTAATTAACAGCAAAACTATTGTGCTTTGTTACTCTCCATGGTCTTAACTATATAAAACAAAAAAACCCACCCCACCCTGCATTGTTCTTCCTCCTCTGCTTCCTCACCATAATTTGTCACAGTTATGTTAATATACTTTCTTACAGGCTTTTTACTTTGATACTTAAGGCTATTCAAAAGGAACTATGATAAAATGGAATTTCACTTATCTTAGAATCAGGAGGGTTTGGATGTTTGGTTTTTTTTCCTTAAATAAAATAATTGAGTTATGTTGGTAGGTAAGAAAGCAGCAGCTTGTATAAGGATTCAGGAATTACAGGATTTTTTCTCGCCTGCCTCAGAGAAGCTCATATGCAATATTGGATCATCAAGAATATAAATGCCAGTGTTCCTGTGACACTATTAGCTGTTAGACTTGTTAACTTTTATTAGGAATAAAGCGTAGGTTTTAGGAAGTTGAACAAAGTGTTTGTACTTAAATATTTTTAGTTTTAGGATTATCCATGTTACTTTCAATGTACTCTTCTTTGCCTGTGTACTGGCTGTATTGCGGTTACCTTCACCTGCTTTTAAATGCTTTTTCTCCAAAGTACCCCTCAGGATTTCTCTGAGCTTGATTCCTTGTGTTGGGTTTTTTGTTTGAGGGTTTTGGTTTGGGTTTTTGGGGTGGGGTTGCTTTTTCGTCGCTTTCTCTACTTCTATTTTTTTCCATTCCTGTTTTTTCCTATTCTTTTCTGGGTTGGTCATCGTCCGTCCGTTGCCCCCCCCTGCCCCCCATTCCCAAAACTTCATTGATCATCTTGAAAAGTTCAGGGTGCTTGTTAGCTGTTCTTTCTCCAGTTCAACAGCTCAGTGCATCTGCCTTCCTGTATTGCAGCTTTAGAGAGAATACTTGCTGTCCAAAACAGCAAGTTGAGTGCCTTTTTTGCTTCTCTGGTTGAGAGGCTTATGCAGGTATTCTGAGAATAAGACAGGAGAGTTTTTAAATTTGTTTGTCTTGTGGGTTTTTCCAGTCTTTGCCAAGCAAACTTGCGTTGCAGAAATGCAATTTGTATTGGGGCAGAGCACTGCAAGAGACCCAACTAACCTGGTTGTACATCTGTACTATGCTTGTGCATAGTAGCGTGTTAAAGAAGTGGCAAAAGGTGGGGAAGAGTCTATATAGTTCATGGAATCACACAGTTCCAGGAGCACCAGGAAAATGCAACAGTATCTGCCAATTAATTAAAACATGATTTTAGGCAGCAGTGGTTCTGTGTTGCTTACAGGCTTTTCTTAGAATAGGATTTGTTTTAGAAGGATCCAGAAGGCTGTTTTGAAGATCGTAAGAAAGTAAACTTAACAAACCATTGCCTTTAAAAATATATACATATGTATGTGCGTACGTGTATTTAAAAGCAACCCTTATCTTCCCAGCAGCCTTCTGAAACTAAGCTATAGCAGGTCTCTTTCCTCTGAGATTAAGCTTGCTGTAGATTCATAAAGAGAAAATGTATCCTAATGAATCAAGTCTAATGCCTCTTTTAAATTATTTTTATTTTAACAGAGCTATCTGAAATAGAACCCAACGTCTTTCTTCGGCCTTTCTTGGAAGTAATCCGTTCTGAAGACACTACAGGCCCCATAACTGGATTGGCCCTCACCTCTGTGAATAAGTTCCTCTCATATGCACTAATAGGTATGTTCTGTGGCTTCCTGGGATTTACCAAAATGCCAGCCAAATGCATCTCCTTGAGACATGTCTTTGGCCAGGATACATGCTTGCAGTCTTAATCAGGAGATTGGGGAAATAAGAAAATTGTTATTAATGCTGGGGAAATAGGCATCTGCAGTTTCATAGCATCATACCTGCTGGTCTTTCATGGCACTACAGCGATGGCTAGAAGCAGAGCTAAAGCTTTTAGTGTTCCCTGACTGCTGCATGTGCTTATGGCCGCTGCTGGACTGTGCTGTTTAATGAAGTCTGAGCAAAAAGGCCAGGGAAGGGAGAATACCAGTTTGGATTACAATACTGTAATATGCATAAACACTGTGGAATTTATTTAGGTTTGTGGACTAGTATTTCAGCTCCAGGGTGAGGATGGTTTTTTGCCCAGTCTGGCTGTCCAGCAGTGTGCCAGTACTCTTCACTTGTCACATGGCATAGACAGTTTTGCCACTCCCAGACTTCCAAATGTGTGCATTCTCCTTTATATTTGTGAAAGACTAACAATGTGCATGTGGTCAGTTCCCATGGCTCAGCTGGCTTGTAGTAACTCATTAGCTGGCTTTCTGTCTGCCTTCAATGCTGCTGTTAGTGGTGCTTGATTTTTGCTGTGTAAATTCTATTAGTCCTTTCTGATTATACCTGTATGAATTACAAAACCTACCTATGTTTGTTTATACATGGTTTCACATGGAGAAAATTATTTTACCTGTCTTCCTCCTGCCAAGTTCAGATTTCTCAGTTCTTTTCCTGCCTTACATTGCAAGGAAACACTGTTGAAGTTTTGGCACTGTTGTTTTATATATTTTGTTCTTCGGCGTTGGCATGAGAGAAGTTAGAGAAAGAAAGTGCTTGATGTAGATGCAGACCACTTTTGTAGGCAAGACCCAAAATTAAAATGAGCAAAAATAGGGACTTGCAGGAAAGAAGAGGAAAAAAAATAATAAAAAAAATTGTAAGTTTGATGGAAGTTTAGTGTATCAAGACATCAGTTTGAGGTCAGTATTTGGTATAATTAATTGGCAAAAATTAATTCAAATTATGCAAGATTAATGTCACTTCATAGGACAAAAAAAAATAAACCTGTGAAACATGTCCCTATAAAGGACTAAGCAATGAAGCAAAATATGTTAGTTTCAGCATAGAACAGGGGGATGGACTCTTCTGGGCTTTTATGGTCTGGGTGGGATCAGAACATCAGGCTGGTGTCACATGTCCAGGCAAACATCTGCACAGGCAGCCAACTACAAATACTTGATTTGAGGCAGAAACAGTAAAAAAACGTGGTTAAGAATGTGTAGTCTTTCTCTAGGTACTTGTTATTTAGAGTATTAATTAGGTTACTCCAGCAAGGGTGCATCCCTGTAACTGTTGCTGAGCATGTGTTGGTGGTAGGCACTGGAAAAGGCTCTCTGCCTGGCTTATGTTGTGGAGCAGAACCTGTAATCTAAGACCTCTGTTGTTGCTTCAGGTGACATTCTCAGTGGCCTTGTCCTTTGTGCTGCTCCAGATACCACCGAGACTGGGATTAATGGTGCTGACTGAACATCTGGCTAGGGTTGTGTTGTTAAGTTAAAGCTTTTTGGGTTGTATATTTCTCTTTGTAATGTAAGACTAAAGGTAGTCTGAAGACTGCTTGCCTAAAGATAGGAAAAGCTTAAAACTGTCCTTAATATACAAATCTGTTTCAAACTGTATGGAGCAAGGAAGGATGGACTCCAGCATAACCACAGTGGGCAAATTTCAGTGTAGCTGGTATCTGTGTTGTGTTTTGGAGCTGACAGGTGAAACCAGCACTCTTTTTCAACAGCATCATTAGCTGTGTGTGTTCTATGAGTGGAGGGTTTTTGCTGTACACACTAGGTTGAAAAACTTCACGCTGGCAATGAAAGGACCAAACTCCTCTGATTAATTTTATTTCTTTAAAACAGCTTTCTTTTCCTGTTTCCAAAGTATTTCATCGGTAATCCTTGTATTATCTCACTGTTACTCTGTCACATGTCAGCAGGTGGTTATCTGTCAGCTTTTCAGGCCCGTATTGCTGAGGGCTTTGTTTGAACACCAATTAGAAAAAAAAAATTCTTTATTGAGACTTCTGATCTCGATTACTCTGAATTGCTGGGTGCAGTTCACCAACAGGAGTGTGCAATCACAGCTCAGTTTGATAAAAATGCTTGATATCCACCATGCATGTGTTTTAGTAGGAATAGTTAGCCTTACAGAAATTATCCTCTGCTTTGAAATAAGTACTACTGTTCCAAGTGTTATAGTTGATAAATTACAAAGTAATTCTTAAAGTACAAGAAAATTGTGTGACAACACTAAACTCCCACTGATTTTTACCTCTCAGATTAGTTATGTCCTTACTCAGCAGTTTTGCACGAGCTAGCTGTCAGCCTTTTTGATGAACTCAGACCTTAGCTATAGGAAGACTAGTGGCTGAAAAGAAAAGGTTATGTGCTTTTTTTACTATCACAGTCTGTCTATAGCAGCTTCTGGCTCCATTTCTACAGTTAACTTTCCCTGGTGTTCCTGAAAACTGCATATCCATAAATGAGTAGCTGTTACTCAGCTGCCAGCAAGAGGACATGATGTTTGGGGAGCTTAAAGCATGTTCTCCCCTCTACTTTCTCTGTCTCCTTGGTGATTAATTTTAGTTCTACTAAAGGGGTTACTGAGCAGGCTTCTGGCTTTCCAGGGTTTCCCTGGTGGTTGAGAGCCTGGATTTTCTGCTTTCTGCTTGTTCTCTGCTCACCTGTTGTGAGAGTACACCCCATATGAAGTATGTACATCTAGATGAGGTCTCCAGGTCTTTGCACTGTAGGTAGCAATTTTCAAACTAATATTCTACTTCACACAAACTTATTTTTGTTAGTGATTCTGAGCAGGCATTGACACATCTTTCCATGCTGTTTTCTCACAGGGGAACAAAGAAACGGGTTGATCTTTTCTGTATCTTTTTCTGCAAAGTAGAAGTATCTGTGCTTTTAATTGAACTCAAGAGGCTTTATAAATTGACCCGAATTTGTAGAGCTGTTCCAGGGAGCCAGAACTGAAGTAGTCAGGCGTGATATGTGTTGGGAGAGAGGTGTGTTTATTAGTGTTGAAGGTAGGGGCTAGAACAGCAAAGCAGGAGTCATAGATCTGTTAAGGAAGCATACACACAACTTGCTTGCATTTCCTTTTCACACAGACTATTTATCCATAACTATGACTAAATGTATTCCTAAGCCTAGAGCAACTCACATCTGCTGGAAGAGGTGACAGTGCTCTACCTTTTCAGCAGCAAGTGGCTTTTTCCTCTTGTTGCCTTCAGCTGCTTTCCACCGTAGTTGTTGAGGTTGGTGAACAGTAATATTAACCTAAGTACTGTCATTGTGACACCTCTGGTCTTTGCCTCATTTAATTGAGGCAATTTAGAATGATCCTCTATCACCATTAGTGGTTTAAGCTATAATTTCTATTTGTGAATAAGAGTGCATGGAGTACCGACATATGGCTGATTTTATTGCCTCTGATAAAAGAGTGGTAGCTTCTAACTGGATTATAAGCCATTGTCAGAGGTACGCAGAGAACTGCCTTTGACAGCCAGGCCTTTTCTCTAATGCTTACCAGTATCAGAGTTTGGTATTCCTTTAAGTGCCGCTGCTGAAGCAAGCACTTCAAATGCTTGCTTCGGCAGCAGCAAGCATGACCGATAGTCTTAGAGCAGACTTCTTGATAGCTCTGTGAGGGGTTTGACTAGCAAACCAGTGGAACTTCCTCTGAACTGTGCAAGCTGGGTTTTTTCTGTGTGAGCGAACTATACCAAAAGTAAGCAAGCTCTGCTCTTAATAGGGATGTGTAAGCGATCACAAAGGTGAATTGCTGTTTCTGTTCTGAAGTACAGTGATGTCATTTCAGTTTTGTGCAACTATGAGAAGTTCCTTATCCTGCAGCCCCTCAGAATCCCCACAGCATGGTGGTGACTGCTCACTTTGGACCACAGTAAGGGCAGCTTTCTTTAATGTCTAGGGCTTAGCCCCTCCTAGGTGTGAACACAAATGGAGTCAAAGAAGGAATCTGCAAAGCTCCTCTGCAAAGTTTACAAGGTCTTGCTTGGTTCCTCTGTCAGCTTCATTCTCACTGGAGTTCGAGAGGCCCCATTGCCAATTAATGAGGTATTAACTAGTGTTTAGGTTGTCTCCTTTCATTCCTGATGGCTGTTTAGGAAGGTAACAAGGTTCTTGCCCAGTGCCGTATTGTTTAAGTGAGAATGAAATCAAAGCCGGAGGCAGCTTTTCTGAAGCCACTGTAATGTGGCACAAGATATGGTTACTAGCAACAATCTTGTCCTAAACATTCTGTCAACTGCACCATTGTTTGTAGCTACAAAAGGCTGAAATGGGGAGAAGGAGCCTTGCTGAATGATTGAAGCGGGAGGCCTGCATCTCTGATATCTAAACTGTGATTTTGTGTGTCTGCTGTTTTCTCTGGGGAAAGCTACTAGTCCATTCCTTCCCCAGCTCCTATTGCTTAGGAGGGATGTAGAACAAGAGACAATTTTTCATTCTCAATCTAGTGGAACCTGTTTGGCATTTTCTCCTCGTGGGAGTAAATTTGAGGTTCCTTATGTTTAAGAGCTGTTTTTCTCTTCATTCCCAAGAAAGAATAGAATGCATTTAGCAGCTGATTGTGCTGTGTTGTACAAAACAGGACAGAGTCTTAAAAATTAACATCTAAAAACATACAGAGCTGGTAACAAGTGAATTTGAATTATTTTCTTGTTAGGTTGCATCATGTTGCAAATGTAAATAGACTCTTGATAAAGTCTTTCTGAAAGGTCAAGTTTTAAAAACTTTGTGCTACTGAGAGTTGAGTTTTGCTTTTGTAGGGTCAACTCTCTCTGAGTCACACAAATTAAGGAAGCAGATGTCAACAAAATATCTCCGTGTAGGTGTCTCCCCACAGAGGTGGTAGGCTGTATATGGCCTTTCCCTGTCATGTATTTTTATTCTGTTGCTCAGATCCCAGCCATGAGGGCACAGCAGAGGGGATGGAGAACATGGCAGATGCTGTCACTCACGCCCGATTTGTGGGCACAGATCATGCAAGCGATGAGGTTGTGTTGATGAAAATCCTACAGGTAAGTAGAGAGATATGGTAATTACCATAATGGTTGCTGCCTGTTGTGGAACATATCCTGTTACATGGAGATGAAGAGGAGGGAGCAATGTTTTGACGCTGGGGAGCTTAGTGACAGACTTTATTTTTAAACAGATGGCTCATATACCTGTGGTAAAAGCTTTTCCAAATGAAAATAATTAAAAGCTTAAATAAAATGATTTTTAAATGAAGGAGCTTGATAATGTGGTAGCATTGATAATCCTGCCTTGTGCATGGTCTGTGTTAGTAAGGGTAAATCAAACATATGGATCTCAAACTTATTTTTGAGAAAGGTCTTTAGGAGACACAAAGCTATGAACTATACACCTCTTTGGTCTATGTACTTTTGAGCAGATAGCTAGTTACCGAATTTAAATATTGGGTAGCTTGCAGTATATCAGGCCTCCTGTAGAAGTGGGTTGGGAGAGCATTGTTTTCTCCTAATTTGTTTCTTGAGCAGAGCATTCAGTTTGAAATGACTCCTGGAAAACCCATAGGTTGTCTGTTTATGGCAGTCTGTTTTGAGGAAGCCAACCTCCTCTTGGAAATGCATGCAAGTGTCATTGTACTATGGGACATACGTGTGCTGTTTTATTGCAGGTTTTGAGGACCTTGTTGCTCACTCCAGTGGGAGCCCACCTCACCAATGAATCTGTGTGTGAGATCATGCAGTCCTGTTTCCGCATATGCTTTGAAATGAGACTCAGCGGTAGGTTTGTTCATAGTTCAGCAGTTAAGAAATGGCTGGGTTTCCTCAGTATGAACTAGTTCTACTGTAGAGCGTGTAGCCGTGGAAAGCTGCTGAGCTTTATGCTACTGTGTCTCTACAACTTACTGGAAAGCGTTAGTTCACGGTACAACTTTGGACTGCTTTTTCCCCAGCTTCATGGCGCCACCTTGTGATGATCGGTCCATTTGCAGTAGTGCGGTGTTGGAGCTGGTTTTAATAAATTTGCCGTAATCTCTGTAAACAAGGCTCGGAGGGGAGTCTGCTTGGAGAAGCCTCTTGATAATATCACACTGAGTAATGACACCTGTGTTATTTGTTTTTGTCTTCGCAGAGTTATTGAGAAAATCTGCAGAGCACACTCTGGTCGACATGGTGCAGCTGCTCTTCACAAGGTAAACCTGCTTGTGTTTGCCTCAGCATTGCCGAGATGGCCCTCTAAGGACAGAAAGATTCCACACTTCCACTTAAGGGCCCTCAGAAAAATCATCCAAAATGGTCATTATTTAGAGGTGGAAGGGGATGAAGGATTTGGCACTTTTCTCTTGGGCTGATCCTGTTAGACTGCAGGGACACAGAGGTAGGGAAGGTTGCCTGGTTTAAGGTGTCCTTTGAGGAGAGATGGACAGCTAAGTAATGAAGAGCTTTAGGACAGGGAACCAGTCTGAGGACAGAGCATGCAAACTTCCCTCAAAAAAAAAAAAAAAAAGAAAAAGAAAAAAGAAATGCCCTAAAAAACATAGCTCTCTTCAGGAGAGCGAATAGAAATGATGTTGAATAGTTGCATGTTGATTTCAAGCTGAGAGCTTTGACCTCACATATCAAAGAGAATTTTAAACTCTTGAGATCATACGTCATGGACAAATGTTCTGTCCTTTTCAGCACCCTTTGAGTAATTAAGATTACTCCTTTTAAGCTCAAATAAGTTATTTAACTTCAAAACTGTTTCTCCCGATAGTGAAGTAATCATAAACTCTCTCTGGGTATTGTGAAAATGAAAGGTACAGATATATAAATACTTTTAGGAGGGGAGGATTGTAGTAAAACTGACAGCTTGTGAAACACAGCTCACAATATTTTTTGTTTCCCGTTGTCACACTCAGTTCCAGTTGGGATCTCAGTTGTTTTGTTTCTTTTCCTCTGTGCACCCTGTGTCATGCAATGCACTGGACGAATGTGGGGCAGAGTCAGAATCAATCTCTTCAGAGAGGAGAGACTGCATAGCTTTTTCTTCAAATGACTATGTGAATTTTATTTAGTGCTTATTCATTACTTATTGTATATCCTCTCCTCTGTCCTTCTTGATAAGGCTTGGAGACACCACTGCCATCTGTGCCTGTGGACACTGGCATTAGAGAAGCAAATCAATGACAGCAACTGCAGGGGTGGTTTGGCCATCTTGCTTACCAGAATAAGAAACAACCAAAGCTGTGCTGCAAGGCTGTTGTCCCTTCAGCAAGCAAAGATAGAACTGTAGTAAAGGAACAGAAGGGAGAGCAGGGTGTGTAGAGTTGTAGACAAATGTACGCATTTGTCTCGCCTGGTAATCCAGGTGAGAGCAGTCTACCTCCTTTACGTTTGAGACGGGGACTGCTTAGCTCAAAGCATTCAGCTTCAAGTTAGATCCACTGTGCACCATAATTGTGTTTGTATGATGAAGAGTGGAGGGTAGCTACTGGGGTTTCTACAAAGTTAATGAAAAGGGTTGCCATGACTAGTAATAACATGTACAATGCAAGAGTCCTATTGTGGATGACACTGGCTCAGCAGCTGTTTTTAGCAGCAAAAACCTGTTTTGAAACCCGTTTTGAACCAATCTAATTAGTCCACTGCTGAAAACATACACTGAAGGAAAAGAAACTACTTATATCACCATTAACAATAAAAATCTGAAAATCAATATAGGAAAACTGCTGTTAGCAGTAAATCATGCAAAGCACCTTTCATCTATACTTTTTCTTTTTTTCTTCTCTATCAGTAGATTTTGGCAGGAAAAGAAACTAAGAGTGTCTCTTTTTGTGGATAAAACCTAATTTTGGTCTTGTATCAACAGCATGACTAGAAAGAGCAGTCTAATTTTTTTTTCCCTTGTTAATGCAAGAAAGCTTATGTATATAAACTTGTTCTTTGTCTTTCAGGTTGCCTCAGTTTAAAGAAGAGCCTAAAAGTTACATGGGAACAAACATGAAGAAGGTAAGATTGAGCATCATGTTGGCTGCTCTTGTCTCAGGCTTGCACTCATCTCTATATTGTCTGTTTTCACACTTGTGTTTCTTCATTCCTGCAAGTCCCTAGTTCACTGAAAGAGCATGTTTCACTGCATAAATGGACATAGCTTCATTAATTCCGTGGGATTAAGCCCACATTGTCCAGTAAGGAATCTTGTTAATGATGCTGCTGTCTAAGTGAGCCAGTCCGGATTCTGGGAACAGCCATCAGCTGCTGTGGGCTAGAAAATCCCAGCAAGTTATGGAACCTGATGGTGATGTCATCTGATAATTTGCTGCCTTCTGCTCTCTCTCCAACTTCCTTCTCATCTTTCTTCATTCACTGCAGGTTTAATACTGAGCTCTTGAGATGTGTTTATCCAGTTTTCCCTATGCAGAAACGAACATTTTTGAGGCTGGTGAAACAACATGAAAGCGTTATGAAATTGGGCTATTGTAGAAAAAGCTTTCATGGCTTCCAGAAGGGGCAGCTACAGAATGTAGCGAAAACCTTAGTTCACCTTCGGCAATGCCATCTCTATTAGCAGCCAAATCAAAGTATTCTGTTCTTTTTCTCCCTTTCCCTAAATGCACAATTTTCTGAAGGTGGAAGGTCTGGGTTTCAACACCGCCACCTCCCTCTCTACAGTGAGTTTTTCAGCAACTGGAGTCAGTGTGGAAAATACCATAAATGAGACCTTACATGATTGTTAATGTAGTAATGTAGTAGTTTCTTAGGTGGAGGGAGGTCCACTTGAGGAACTCCATATATACTTCTATACATACATATTCTTTATACTCCACAGAAAGAATGTCAATGAAGATACAGGTTTCTAGTGTTGAGAGCAACATGATGGGAAGAAAAGTGCTAGAGAAGAAATAATCAACTTTGAACTTACGCTGAATGTACTATTTATATATGTTATAATTTCCACTCTTTGTATTTTTAATGAGTTAAGTAGCAACATTGGGTAAATGGACATTTCAGATCCAGTGTTTTGAGGACTGAATGCTTATTTGTAGGAATCTGAAACTAGCTTGGGGCTTTGCTTCTTGTAAAATGACTGCTTGTTTCCCTTGAGAAAAGTGGCAAGATTTGTGATGATAGCAGGCTGACCTAAGGAAAGCTAAAAGAAATCAGGCTGATGTACTGTAGGTATCAGAATTTGGCATGGTCTGTGTACAGAAGGTGTAAAGTGGAAGTGAATTTGAACTTAGGAAGGCTACCCTTATCAAGTGATGGCTGCTCCCAGCTCGGTTAAGCGATGCTCTGTCCTGTGTCCGATCTGTGCAGTTACCTTGTATTGTCCCTGCTGTGCATGCCAGGAGTCTGCCCTGCAGCCTTGCACTCTGCCAGATTTTGGTTTTTTTTTTTCTCTCTTTGGGTTTATTTTGCTTTGTTTAAACCATACATTTGCCTATCTTTCACAGATCTCTTCATGTCTCCTCAACAAACTGGAGCTAAGTAGTGGGGAACAGCCCAAAGCCCTGAACCAATTAGAGAGGGTATTGCTCTTTAAGAATCTGAAGGTCTCTCTCTCCCTTCTCCCTTCTTACCTTACTCCCCTCTTCCTTCTCTTGTAAACACCACTGAGAGATAGTTTCGTTGTTTGCAGCAGATCTCCCTCCACTCATTTAACACAGCATGGCTTCTGGGGACAATGCATGTAGTGGCTGTTTTGCAGTGTTGTGGCTGCAGCTGGGGCAGGCTTATGAGGGAGAGACCCTTGTTTTACTGCAGCATTCGGTGTCTTGGTGAGTGCCACCTAAGACATCATCACAGCATTTTCTGAAGAAGGGAGTAGAAGGGCATGGGCAAGATTTGAGTCGTCTGTGACAGTGAAAAACTGAAGAAAAGAAATATTAAAAATTCAGGTTGCTCTCTGAAGGCCCAAGTGTTGTGTGTTCTGGCTTGTTTATAGATGTAGCAACATATCTGAGGAGTCTCTTGACTCAGTGTAAGCTTTGTTGTTTGGTGCAGGGCCACAAAGTTCAGTGCTCTCTATAAACGTGTTTTGAAGGAGACTGCTGTACCTTTTCAACATCTTGGCCATGTTTCTACTGAAATTAAATATAGCTCCCAGTACAGTATTGGCCAATGAAGGATGAGTGGAGCCAAACTGCATTACAAACTGTGTTAGTCCTTCCTAGTTGCTCTAGAAAATACTTCCAAAGAAATACTGTAGGTGTGCAGATTGTTGGGTTTGGACCAATCATAGAAACCCTGGGAAACTGACTTAGATGGAACTCTCCTCAGTTTTCCATGCTGGTTCACAAGCTTAATGTAGATATAGTTCTTGTCCACCATTAATGCTATATGGTCCAAAAGGAGCTGAACAGAACATTTAGAGAAGCATTTGCCATTCTTTTGTCCTGTGTCTATAGTCAGGATAGTTAGGGAAGGCAGTGGCTGGAGACTTGCAGATTTAAGCAGAGTTGCACAGAAGGAAAGACTAAGAAATGTTTCCCTTTGAAGCAGAAATTGTATCTGAACACTGGGTACTGCAGTGAGAATCGGGAGGAACCTAAATCTGAGTTTCACAGATTTTGGTGGGCGGATTATGTTCGTAGTTGCCAAAGATGCATAAATAACTTTAATCACATAAGCTTCATTAGTCGTTGCAGTGCAGGCAAGTAGGTGAGATGACTGGACTGCATTGATGTCTCCAGGATTTGGATTGTGGACTGCGTTCTCTCTGCATGCTTTTGTGTCTTGAACGCTAATTGGTGTGCTGACCAGTTCCATGCGCATCTAGAATGAGCTCGTGTTAAGTATAATCACTTTAGTTACTAATCATTGGCACTTGCCCTTTTCTCTTGAGGCTTACAGTATCTTATGGAAAAACAAACGAGTCCAGGTAAGGTGGCTTGTAGAAAAATGAGATCTCACAGACACTTTAAAAAGAATCTTGTGGTATTACATTTTTCTTCACCTTCCTAGACCTTAGCTGGAGTTTTATGGTTAAAGCCTCATCTATCAAAGGAAGCATTTGGAGTCTCGTACATATTTTTTCTTCTACAATTTTGTGTACATGTTTATTTATGGAAAGGTAACTCAGATAAATATAATGGAATCTGCACTGAGTTCCAAGATGAACGAGCAGTAGCTCTCAGCTCCCGCTCTACCCTGATTTCTAAAGAATGGGTTTTAAATACTAATTTCAGGTGGTTTACTGTGGAAGTACAGGCTTAATCTAATCTGAAGGATGCTGACAATTAGAAAACTAATGCAACTATAATATTTCTGAGCATTGAAGAGGGAAGGAGAATTTGACAGCATGACTAAAATTCAGGAAGTTTTAATGATCTAGTAAATGTCATTTACCTGCAGCATTTAGTCAAAAGCAATATTAGGTTTAAAATCTCAGCCTGTTAACATGCAACCAAGCTTTATAGTGAAATCAGAAAATGACTTGCTATTGAAGGTAAAAACAAGCGTTATAAATAGCTCCGTTAGTCAAAGATAAACTGTGTAAGTTGGGGGGGCGGTTACATTTTTTTATACTAACATAAAAAGCAAGTGTTACCTTTTAATTCAGTACAAAATATGGAATGAAAGGTGTTACTTTGCTGTCTTTTGATACATGTATTGTTTTAGAATTCCCAAACCCAGGGTTTGTTTGTTATAACAACATATGGCCCCTTGGCACTGGTGAAATATTTCTATTCAGCATTTCTGTTTGCTTCTGCAAATTTTTTTTTTAAGCTATGCAGTTGTCATTGTAGTTTCTCCCTCTTATTTATAGGAGATAGCAAAAGAAAAAAAAAGAGGGGAGGGAAAATGTTATGGGAGGTAGCACTAGGTAATCCTAGCTGGTAATTCTAATAAAAGGATGCCTCTTTGTGTAGAACATGGAATACTGGATGGTATGAGATGGAGAAGACCTACTGGGTAATCTCACCTGTCAAATTGTCAACCCCCCCCCCACACCCCACCCCTAAAGTATAAAGAATGGTTTATACTTCGATGAAATGTTTGGGATTCTTTAAAAATCAACTGAGTCTCTTTGCTTGCCTGACTAAGTGGTTTCCCATCCATGTGAAGCTGTTGTGACTCAGTCTCTGAAAGATGGCACAGGTTCATCAAATGATGGACATACGTCTTGCGACCCTCAAGAGGAAAAATCTTGGAGTTAATACAAAGTACAGGACAATCACTAAAAATTGATATTGTGTCTGAGGAAAAGTGCTTTTTTAAAAGGGCTAGTGTTGAACTGAGGTAGTATTTGGTGTCTGAAAGGGGAGATCAGAAATACTACTTAAATTGGCAGCTTGAACCTTCTAATAGCATGACTGAGGGGTAAAAGGAGTGGGACTGATGTGGTTAATTCATAGTAATATCTTGGCTCCATTTTGCAATTCTGTACCTCCCTCCACCCCTCAAATTTTTATTAGCAAGTAACTTTTTACCTAGCAAATCATGTTAACAGGATACAGTACCTAGAGGCAATTTTGAAATTATGTGAAACAGACTTTATTGGATTTAACAGATAATGCTTCAAGGTTTCCTTTTCTTCTTGAGTAGTTTGGTAAATGAACTATAAGTCTTCAGATTTTATTTTATAAGTTCATGAAAAGGGATAAAAAAATAAATAGGGCTATTTCTAGAATAGTTGGTAGGTAAAACTACATGATCTAATTAGCAGCTTAAGCCTTTGATGAATAAAACTGTTGGTAATATTTAAGGCTTGAGAGGTTTTTAAATTGAAAAGGAAACTACTAATAGAGGTGAAGCAATTTTACTTTTAGCTATGTGCTTGTCACGTAAGTGTTTGTCAGAAGCTGTGATTTAGAAGGGGATTCTTGCTGCAAAATTTGGAAGAATTAACAAGGAGCAAAATAATTATGAATCTGTTAATTAACAAGCTCACAGAAACTGTAGCGTAGCTATGACTTGGGGATTAGTCGTCAAACATATAGAATTTGTGGTGCAAAGAAAAGTTACACAAATGGTTTACTGCACTGGGACATAACATTTTAACGAGCTTTGTTTAAATGGGAAAAATTAGGCCATGTACAGCAAGTTAAAATTCTAGCTAAAGAGATGGAAAAACAGTAGCAGAACCTACCTAGAAAGTTTATTGCGTTTAAGAAGAGTAGCAGCTGGCAGGAGGAAAGTTGCAGAAAAAGGAAGAAGCTAAAGAATAAAGCTGTCTTCTAGATGATTTAAATCTGATGCTAGGGATATAAGAAATAAGGAGTATTATGCCTAAAATATAACTTAACTATGAAAAATCTACAAAGAAAAGAGTACCAAGTAGGGGCCTGGTACTGAAACTTGCTGAATGGTTTCCACTACACGTAAGGTACCTGTTCAGTGGTTAAACTTTCACCCCAAATTGAAGAGGTCTGACAGCATCAGAAAAGCTGACTGCAGCTAACAAACCCAAGAGTAAGTGCACTCCTGCACTTAGAGGAGCTTGCTTTAGAAGGAAGCTGTTTTCAGGCCTGCCATTGCTGTTGTCCATGTGAATAAATGTCATACTGTTTTTAGGAAGTTCTGGAGCATTTGTGCATGCCTGCAGTAAAAGCGCACTCCAGCAAGTGCCACACAGTCTGCATTGCTCCTGCTGTGGTTCTTGTTTGCCTGATCAATGATCTGTATAAGAAGAAGTAGGATCCTGGTCAAGAAGGATGTCAAGGGTTAGGTTAGATTTAAATCTGAAGAGGAGTGATGACAGAAGGCAGGTGAAAGCAGAATATGGTTTGTTTCTAAACCACTAAGGTGGTATTTGCAATGTGCCATGCCTTAGGAGTGAGTGAAGTCTTAGAGAAACGCTTGTCAGTAGTGAAAGATACCTGGAGGAAAGTGAACATGGCATTGCTATGAAGATCAAGAGTGAATTGAGGCCAGAGATAAGTGACAGAGCTACAGACTGCAGTGTAGGATTGGGTACTCAGGCCCCATTCTCAGTCTTTGTGCATAGATGGTGAAATTTTAATTGTGTATCAAACCTAACTAGTTTAATTGATGCCCTTTAAAAGTCTGGCAACTTTGGCAAAAGCAAATTGATTTGAGATGTGTCTCTAGGTCTAAGAAAATTCTTTATCTTAATGCAAAGCTAGGACATATTGATAGGGAAGAGGGAGTGCTGTGATAATTAAACTGACAAGTATATATTATAGCAGATTAACTGCAGTAAATTGTCCCTTGATGCAGGCATAGGGTGTTGTCTAATGTATGGGTAGTGGGGAGGCTGGCTGGTTTGCATGATTTTGAGATGCTGATTAGTGTGTGTGATTCATTTAAGTGCTGTTGCCTGACTTTGAGGGTTTTGAGGCAGTGTTTGTGGGTTGGCTTGTGTAATCCATTGTGCTATGTGGTTTTGCTATGCTGATATTCTTAATGATTATTGGTTTTCAGTTGAAAATGAGAGCTGGAGGAATGAGCGAATCATCAAAATGGAAGAAGCAGAAGAGATCACCAAGGCCTCCTCGCCATGTAACTAAGGTCTCTCCTGGGACAGAACAACCAGCAGCTAATTCTAGTAACACCCCAGGTAAGTTGAAATCTGTTTCCAGAGACCAGACACTATCTGTTCAGGAGCTTTTTTGGAATGTCTTTATTTAATTTCTCTTTAACATGTTTTGCTTTAGGGTTTTTGTTTTGGTTTTTTTTCTATTAGTTCTCAGTGACTATAGCAATAAAATATATCATAGATTTTCAGGTCCAGGAGAAGGAGTTTGAAGGAGATGGAATAAATATCTGATGGAGGAAAGCATGGTCCATTGGATAACTTGGCAGTATTTCTCTGCCATCAGTGTGCCTTACAGGGGTAGTTTGTACAAAAGGGAATGAGGACCTGGAGAGGTGGCTGAGGTTATGGGCAGCTGTGGTGGTGCAGAGGAGTTGGAGGTACCTGTACAGCAGGTACATGGAAGAGACTGAAAAACACTGGCAAGAGGAGAGCTAAGGGGAATGGAGCTGGGGAGAAGGTTTACTGCAACAAGAGGTTGCTGACTTAAATGACATATTCTTTCATGTGTTCCTGAAGGGTGTACCAAATGGTGTGGTAGTAATGAGGGAAGAGCAAAGTGTGACTAGGGAAAATACACAGGTAGAGCTGAGGGGTGCGAAGAAACGTGGGTATCAAGGGTGGGTGAATGAACACATCACTTACTACAGATGTAAAGACTGAAAGTGTGCACCCACAGTCCATGAAATTTGAGTAAGAGGCTACACTCATTAAGGGACGGGGAAATATGGGTGTGCTTATAACTGTTATGAGAAGAATAGAGGCCTTGCTATGGTAAGATGGCATGAAGAGTTAGGTAGGAAAAATAGTAGAGGGAACAGCAAAAGTACCTGAAAGGAGATTGCTTGCAGGAAACTAATGAGTATATGCATGAATCCTTTTTCATGTGCTTTGATTCAGCCTGCAGAAATGATACAGTATGTGACTAGCACTGTGAGCTCAAGAATATAACATTGGGGAGCTTCCTTATCCTGTTGTTGTATGGGAATAGACTAAATAGCTGTAACTGGTTTTTAACCCCTCCTGGATAAATGAGTCCCTCTAGCTGCCAAGTACTCTCTCTTGTGCACTCTACGTTTTGGTGGCTCAGACATAAATGTTAACAGTGAAAGGAAGCAGACAGAAAAATAGAAACAATAGCTGTGTGAAATATCTAGTTTGACACTTCCTCTGTCACAGGAAACTATTCAGCATAGTGTGAATGATCCCAGGTGTGTTTCTGCACAACAGCATGATTGGTTGAAAACTTAAGGAACTAATATCAAATGGCATGTAACTCAGAACATCCATCTGTATGAGAACTTATCTCTACATAAATCATTATATTTAAGTTTTAAAGTAGGTATTAAATTCCATTAAAGACCACTAGAACTCTTTTAACATTTTAGGGAGAAAATTGAACTGTGTTACAAAGGTCACTAACTCTGACCTTATAGTGCTAGATAATGTATTAATGGTGCTTTTTAGGCCAGAATCCTGACAAGTGAAGAAGAAGAGATTGCAAAATGGATCATGTATTCTGTTACATTTCTTAAAAATCAAGTAACATCCTGCTACTTATTTAAGACATTTTCAAAAATCAGCAATAAAACACCACTGAGTGAAACCGTACACATTTCACATGTAAATTCATAACATAACTCTGGTTTGTGCCTCTATGACTGTGCCCTGCAGTATATCTTCTCCTTTTTACTGTTTTAAGTCTTTTTAAGTTCTTCTCAGAAGCATGAGAGCTGCAGATCTCTGTGTTTCCTCGATAGGAAAACTTAGATTCCTGGAGCATTGTGTCATTTAGAAATAGTAAAAATCCTTCACTTCTCCATTTCAGACTCATTTGAATTCTATTGCAATTCCATTTGTTTAGGGAGAATTAAAGAAATAGGTCTTGCCTTCCAATCAATTTAAAATTCTCACTTTGAAGGAATGACTAATTCTCAGTGCAGGTCTTAAAAGTGTTTGTGCCATTGTATCAGAGAGTAAAGTTCACTTTTCAGACCATTTTCAGATTCCTTCTTAGTTATAGAAACTCTCTGTACCCTTTAATTATGTGATGAAGTAGTTTGCTGAGGTTATTGGATTCCAACTGTTGTGTTTTAATGTGAAAAACTACTCTATCTCATCTGTTCACCAGTGTAATTCAGCTTAGCAAAAGAGAGCTTAGTTTATCTGCATTCTCTACATTCGTGCAAAACCATCTGAGATTGTTTGTAGTGTGAAGTAGTGATCAAATTAATTCTTTGTTGCTGCATTCAATGTATGAAGTTTCAGCTGAGGGACAGAATAACACTGATCTTTTTGCTTCTGTTTCTCATCAGCAAGTGGAGTTACTTTCATAGATGCTCCTTCTCCCAGCACCTCTGGGAGCTCAGAAAATGTTTCATCTGCAGTCAGCCCTGCTACAGACAGTGGTTTGGAGTTGTCCTCACAGGCTACCTCCAAGGAAGATCTGACAGACTTGGACCAAGTAGCTTCTTTGGGCCTTAATGCAGGAATGGCTTCTAATGAGGCAAGATTCTAATGAGGCCAGAGTCACTGAAAATCAAAATCAGCCTGAACTCCAGGTATGTGGATATAACTTAAAGAGAAAAGTTCCAACTCCCAGAATAATTAGTTTTGGGTTTAGCACACTGTGTTTCTGTCTCTCTTTCTGGTCGTAGGGAATATGTTCTATTTCAAGGCTTAGGGTCAGAATAAATATTCTTCACTGTGAGTGATTTGTAAATTCATAAACATTCCTTCTTTGTTTTCTCTTGAGACCATCCCTTTTGGCTCAGAAATTGTAACTGTGCAGCTCAACATTGCATCTACGTAGCTAGTTGTATTCCTGCCACTACCATTAACCTTAATGAAAAGAGAAACTGTTAAGAGGGAAACAGAGGAAATCTGCACAACTCATTATTTTTAGTGAACAATTTTACTTGAGTTTGTAGAAATAGAGCTGTTGGTGTTTGTGTGAAATAGAACAAAACTGAACCAAGGTCTTTACCAGTAAGTTTTCTTTCACGTTGTCTCCACCTCCTCTGCAACAGTAATATTGTTGATTGTTAGACCTGAGGTAGCCTTTCAGAGCTGCAGGTATTTGGAAAGGTAAAAATGCTAAGAAGTTATAGATAGAAATAATGTGCTGAAATTATGTAGCTTTTAAAACAAACAAAAAGAGCCAAATTCTAACCTCAGGGGCAGCAAGAATTGATAGTTCATAGAAGTATCTTCAAAGTCCTTAGTCTTGCAACCTGGAGTATTGTAAAATAGATAAGAACTAGATGGACATGAAGGTCAGAGAGGGCTGTAGATTATCTGGAGGTGCTCTTTTCTCTTAGATTTTGCTTTCCTGGTCCTCTTCCATTAGTGACCTGTGTAGTTTTAATAGTGCCAAATGAACTGTGAACAAATAAGCCTTTCCTAGTGCCTGTTAACTCTAGTTTTGCTTCTTTCATTCTCAAATGACTGCTATCAATGAAGAATGAAAGCCTGAGAGAGGAGAAGATCCAGTCAGCTTCTGTTGAGTCTATCCCTGAGGTCCTAGAGGAGTGCACATATGTAGCAGAACAGTCTGACTCTGCCTCAGTTCATGACATGGACTATGTAAATCCCCGAGGAGTACGTTTCACTCAGTCTTCTCAAAAAGAAGGTGAGAAGTAGGCAATGTTGCTGAGTCCTTTCTCCTTTCCACTTCTCTGTTTCCCTATCTGCTAAGAGGGTGACAAGCTCCTGTTCTTCAGCAGGTCTGTAACAATTTCATTTGTAACACTTGTTAGGCACCTGCAAAAAGCAAAGTTTAGAGTGCTAATCTCTCTTCTTCCTTTAGGAGCGGCACTTGTCCCTTATGGGCTACCATGTATTAGAGAACTGTTCCGCTTTCTTATCTCACTCACCAACCCTCATGACCGCCACAACTCTGAGGTGATGATCCACATGGGGCTGCAGCTGCTAACTGTTGCCCTGGAGTCAGCACCCATTGCAAATTGCCAGTCTCTCTTGGGACTTGTGAAGGAGGAATTGTGCCGGCACCTATTTCAAGTGAGTCTGGCTTATACTACCATGTCATGTGGCACTGGAGACTCAGGAACTAATTTCCATCCAAGTGTAGTCGAATTTAGTATTCTGACATTTGGCAGGTCTCAGTCTTCAAATAAGCTCTCTGCTGCATTTCAGTGAGAGTTCTGAATTGTGCTAGTGAAACAAGCAATGCTGTTGCAAAGCCAGAGAGGTGTGTGTTTTTATTCTTCAGACCAGGGCCAAGAAGAATGAAGGTGATTTGAATTAACTGTTACTATGGGATAACATTGTGTTTTGTTATAACTGGTTTTGAGGTAGTTACAGGTGCAAGTTACCATCTTAGTCATAGGCAGAACCTTTGGAGTACCAAGCTATTAATTGCACAAGGGCCATCTCAGAGGCAGGTCTTCTCCCATGTTCCTTCTCCACTAAGACAATCTGTGGTTTTGGCAAAAAAATAGTTATACTAGGAAAGGTGTTACCACAAGCAGAAGGGAATTAAGTATACTCATCCTCATTACCAAAAAGTGAGACCAGGAGGTTGAAAAAGGATTGTTTTTTGAAATACCATTGTGTGGGAGTCAGTGTGGATCTGAAGGCTGTTGCAGGTGATGCCTGCAGTGCCAGAGTACTGCTGCTTATAGCACATAATGATTAGCCTTTGTAATTCTTAAAGGTATTTTTGTTTCTTGTTCAGCTACTGAGTGTTGAACGGCTCAATCTGTATGCAGCCTCCCTCAGGGTGTGCTTTCTTCTCTTTGAGAGCATGAGAGAGCATCTGAAATTCCAGCTGGAGGTGAGGTTTTTTGACTATTACAGGATGCCTAGCAATGGTTTATTTGGCTTCAGTTAAACGCATATAGCTAGACAGAAGGATACAGTCTAAATGTCAATTTACCTTTGTATAAATTATTCAGTGGGTTATGGGTATGCTGTGTAGGCTGATTCTTGTTGGATAATGAAATGTCTTTGAGACTGGTGTGCTGCACTACCTGCCTTTGTACCACTTCTTAGAACAGTAAATCCAGGTGCACTGAATGGTAGAACTGTATGAAAACTTTTTACAACCTCCTCCAGAATGAAACATCATTAAAGATGGAGTGTCGTGGGAAGATGAAGCTTAAGTCTATTTCTGTAGTCCTCAAAGCTGTTCACTCTCCTGCTTTCTTTTCTTCTTTCCTTAAACTGAGCTGCCCTGTGTTTCTGCCAGATGTATGTCAAGAAGCTGATGGAAATAATCACTGTGGAAAACCCAAAGATGCCCTATGAAATGAAGGAGATGGCTTTGGAAGCCATTGTTCAGCTGTGGAGAATCCCCAGTTTCGTGACCGAGCTCTACATTAACTATGACTGTGACTATTACTGCGCCAACCTCTTTGAGGAGCTCACCAAGCTGCTCTCCAAGGTGCTGAGCTGAAGCTGCCAGGCTAAAGGAAGGGAGCTGTGGGGTACTGAAGGGGAAGCCAGTAAGATGCAGAACTTAAGAAGGGGAGTGGTCAGAAGGTTCGGGGTGGGTAGTCTGTAGAGATGAAGACAACCATTTAACATTTAGAAGCAGAAGAGAGAAGATTAGGCATGGTGCTTTGATAATGTCAGAGCAGAGGAACCAGTAAGTATATACTAGAAAACTTTAAGTGAAAATTTACGTTGTTCTGTTGTATGCTTTAGGCTTCCCCAAGCAGCGTGGGAAACTTCCTTCCCCCGTTAAGGTGACAGAGGCACAAAAGTTGACTAATACTTATATTTTATTTCCCAGAATGCCTTCCCAGTTTCTGGACAGCTGTATACTGTCCACCTGTTGTCTCTGGAAGCATTGCTGACAGTTATAGATAGCACTGAGGCACATTGCCAGGCCAAAGTGCTGAGTAACATACATCAGCAAGAGAAGGAAGTTGTCAAATCCAGCCCAGAAACTATGAACAGCACCAAAGAAACAAGCAATAGTAAGACCCCTTTCCTTGATATTTTGATATTAAGCTTAGCCTTGTGCTAAACTTGCAGATCTCATTTTGGTAGCTGACATAGTAAGCTCCTTAAATATATCTTTTCAATCTTTATGTTGCATGTTTTGTAACTACACGCTGATGTTTATATCCTTCCTATTTGTATAATTTACAGATACTAAAATGTGCCCCTTGTGGAATTTTGTATAAAGGCCATGGCAAGATTGACAGTCACAACATAAAAAGGGCATGCCATGGAATTCATGTAGACAGAATACTGAGGATACTGAGGAATTGCAGTTACTGGGGGGAACTCCTTTGAATAAGCACATATTCAGTTTAGAGTGATCAGTTAATCAGTTAAAGTTTGCTTATGTGTGGGTTGATTTGTTGGTTTGTTTGGTTTTTTAACTTCTACAGATAATGAGAGAGTACTCAGTGAGGGTAAATCTTCCAGTGCAGTCTCAGAGCCAGCTGGAGCATGTCCTCCCACCAGTAGGTGTCTTATGGCTGACCAGATGAAGGAGGGCTGCATGGAATTGGAAGGAGGAAGTGAGGCAGGTAATAGTCTCTGTGGTACCCTGACATTCTGAGTGTGTATATGACATTTGCTAACTGGTCCTGCTGTATGACAGACCATTGTACCTAGTGTGTGCTCAAAATCAGAAAGGGTTATGTGGTGAATATTTGTTTATTATGTGAGTGTTAAATATGCCTGCTAACTGTTGTGTTTCTTCTGGGAGGGGGGGTTGGTCTGGTGTGTCACTTTGGGGCAAAAGTCTGTGAAATTCATAAAACCAGTGCTTAGTATTTTTTTACAGTCAGGAGGTCTCCAGGGCATCAATAATGTAGGCAGTCAGAATAGCCAGAAAATTAAATCTTGTGGGTGTGTGAAAATGTCCAGGACAAGAAGCTGCTCTGCAATTATGCTGAAGAAAATGCAGGTGGGAGGAATGTAGTAATTGAATAGCAGCACATTGCAGCAAGACTCCATGACTGAAAGTTATGATGGGATGCTATTGTGAGCTGAGTGCTACTCTGAAGATAGATTTGTCTGTAATGATGCTTTATCTTTCTAGCTGAGAAGAGTATCTTCAGGAAGCCTACTCGATTTTCTTGTATCCTTCCAAACCCTCAGGAACTTATGCAGATTAAGAACAAAAAGAAGGTATGATTTGGGATATAATACAAATGAATCTTTTGAGCGTTCTTCTTGTTTCCCATCCCATGTGAGCTTTGCATGACTGGTTGTATCTCAGAATTTTTGAGTTCTAGTCTCTGCTGTTAAGAATTAAGTAGTCACTGAAAATCCTGCTACACTGCAGAGACAGCAGTGATCATTATCTGTTCTGGGTTAGTCGTGCTAAAAGTCACAAGAGGCATTGGGGCAATTTTGTGGTGCAATTTGTAAGCTTGGTCCATCTAGTTTCTGGGTGGATGGATTTAGTTTGCATTACATAAATGGACATAAATGGGTACTTTCATTAAAAATGGCAGGTTCCCTACTCTTATCAAAGCTGTAAATGGAGAGCATACCAAGAGGCCCATAGTAGAAATTAACAGTCCAGCCTGCTATTCTGATTTGTTTATTATGGATGACTGAAAAGATTGTCTTGATTGTGACAAAGCCATTCTTTGTCTAGATGTCCATTTCTTTGAACCTCATTAATCCAAGTCGTAGTCTAAACTCAGGAATGCAAAATTCCTGAGTGGTTCCAGTCTAGGTCTAGTGTTGGCAAAGGTACTCCATGCTGATAGCTTTGTATTTATTTACTGTCTTGTGTACTGGCCTGCTTGTTCTTGTCTTCAAAGGAACCACTGAGTTTTGGCATTACCTGTGTTCTAAGAAATTAATATTGATTTAGTAAGTGTTTCATTTGTAACACTGCATTAAATCTAGCTTTTGTGGCAGCTTTACTGATGAACCTTGTATGAAAGTCTATTGTTGAGAAGGGAGCTTGCATAATGCTTCCACTGTTCTAACTGAAAACCTCTCATAATACTTCAGCTTTATTGTGCTGGAAAACAGGGTTAAAAGAAATCAAGAGCATTGTCATTGGCTGGGAGTTCCTTAAAAGAAGTTCCAGGTGGTCGTAGAAAAGAGGCAGTGCTTTACACTACAGCAGAACACAGAAAGATATTCATAAATCTTTTAGTTTACCCAGGCAGAAACCTTTCCTGACCCTAAATCTGTTAATGGTTTAATCCTGAGCATGTAAACATGGCACACAAAACATTCAGTTTAAGTAATATTGATGCTGATAAGGCACTAGCACTTCCTGCTTCCTTTAACCTCTGAAGTAATAAACATTACCACAGCTGGAAAGAGGAAAAAAGCTAAATAAAAACAGAAAATAAATTATTCATCAACTGAAGATTTTTCTTTGATATTTCCAAAGGCAAGGACCAGAAGATCAGAAGCATAGGTCTGACATGATTATAAATGCAGTGCAAACTGCCAGCAGTCTGGTCTCCTTTCAGGTGGTCTTGAGAAGTATAACCAGTCCATAGAATACTTGGGTTACAGAATTTACGGCTGAACAGCTGCTAGCAACATACAGTTCCTTCAGGCCTGTTATACCAGGCAGCATATGGTTATTATTTTGTTATGCCCTCACTGGGTCCTTGTGCACTCCATGCTATTTCAGTGTCTTGCTGCAATTGGAGGATGTTCCTGCAGGCAGGGGAAGCAGAGAACAGAGGGCTCGTGGGCTCTGAGGTATTGAGAAACCCAGGGGAGCTAGTAATCATGATGGTCACGAATTTAGTTCACTAGGTCATCGCTAGCAGTTTGATCGTGATAGGAGCTAACAGGGAACTGACATTTATTCTGGTGCCTTAGTAAAGTTCATATAGTTGTTTGTGCTTTTGATTTTTCTGAATGCCATCAGGAACATTCAGTTAACCCTTTCTTAGTCAGGTGGTTTATTACACTGTGGCTGTGGTACAGTCTAGTTTCCTAAAATAAGTATTAAGCAGGGCAGAGTAGTTGACTCCCCTTCAAAACCAAAAATCCATTTGTTCTTCCCAGCGTATAGGTAGCCTTATCATGCTGGAATACCAGATGTTCCTGGACCATGTCTCACTAGCAGAATGTTTTCTGGTTCTTAGTTTAAGCTTTTGCAGCACTTCTTCCTTGCACCTGCTGAATAAGTGCCAAGGATTCTTGCTTCATGTCTCCTGGCAATGAGATAGAGTATGAGAGCTTGGAGCCAAAGGGTGCAGAAGAGGGCATGGAGCAGTAATGCAGTTATAACTGGTAGAGTTGATCTTGCCGTGTGTCTGGGGTTCATCAGAGACTTTGCTCTGTTTACACAGTAGAGCAGGTGAGGTGTTTGGGGTAGCAGAGCTAATTGCTCAGTGAAACATCAAAGCTTTTCAAAGACAGCAGTGCATGCTTGCTCTGTCCAGTATTATTTGATAGTGAATCCTTGTGATGAATGCAGGTTTTCTGGCCTTGGTTAGCATTCTTGTCAGATTATGCAGTACAATAAACTTGATCATGCTAAGGTTGATCTATTTTCTTTAGCTCTTGGCTCAAATGCCAAGAACAATCTAAATTAAGAAATGCACTCTGAGTTTGTAATTACCATAATGTCTCCTTCAGCTCCTGATAACCGGAACAGAGCAGTTCAACCAAAAGCCAAAGAAAGGGATACAGTTTCTGCAGGAGAAGAACCTTCTTGCCACCCCCATCGACAACAATGAGGTGGCCAGGTGGCTACGGGAAAATCCTCGTCTGGACAAAAAGATGATTGGGGAATTTGTGAGTGACCGTAAGAACATAGACTTGCTGGAAAGCTTTGTTGGGTGAGTAATTTTCTGTATCCCTTTAATCAGAAAGGGGTGAAAGTCAAGAGTTCAGTGATAAAAGCACTAGAACATAGTGGAGACATAGGATTTGTATTGCTTAGTTGTCTGTGTACCATCATGCCTTAATCCTATGCATCTCTTGCATATGGTAATACCTTAGATATATATAGCATCATACTCGAGCTTCTTTCAGTAGGGCCAGTCTCTGCGAAGACTGGAGATATGATTACATATGTAATCACCTGTAGGATTGTTGATTCTCTTTTATTGTTTTTTGCCTGTTCATGGTACATTCTGTTCTATGATTCTATGATACTTCTTCTCTCCTTACCCTCCCCTCTTTACTGCCTGTTCTCTGTGAAATCTGGTATTCTGGTGCTGAAACTAACAGTGTTGTAGTCAGCAAATTTATTGCATTTCATTTCATTGCACTGCATTGCATTCTTCTTGCAGGACTTTCAGCTTCCAAGGTTTAAGGCTGGATGAAGCTTTACGACTTTATCTAGAGGCCTTCAGATTACCAGGAGAGGCACCTGTAATCCAGAGACTGTTAGAAGCCTTCACAGAACATTGGAGGGTGTGTACTTGGTGGGCAGAAAGCTCAAAACTGCATTCTTTCTTGTGCATCTTGCTTGCCGTAATGGACATGTCAGATTAAACTGCCTATATAAGCTTACTGTGCCTTGCAGGCAGCAGCTGTTGTTTTGTAGGAGATGGCAGTGGCACATAAACTTCCAGCTTTTTGGGAGCTGGAGCCAGAGCCTAAGGTTTTTGTTTGTCCCAGAGATGATTCAGTACTGTGGGTAGGAAAATGGCCGTCTTGGGACACTGATACCACTGTTTCTGTAGGACTAATTTATGCATGCATTTGCCTTTCAGAAATCAAATGGGTCCCCATTTGCTAATAGTGATGCCTGCTTTGCCCTGGCCTATGCAGTTATTATGCTGAACACCGACCAGCACAACCATAATGTCCGCAAGCAGAATGTCCCAATGACTCTGGAGGTGGGTGTTACCAGTGTTAGGCACCTATCTTCTCTGGTTTTGATAGCAAGGTAGTACCTGTTTTTATCTCAATGGCATTCTCCTTATTTTCCCTGGCATTTATCACTCATACACAATAAGCTGGTATGCAGCACCGAAGTTGAGTGCAGTTTGAGAGGGGAACTGTGGGCAAGGGGTAGTCTGAGGAAATACAAGCTTAGCAGACAACTTGACAAATTTGTCAAGAAAGAGGCTTGTGTGTGTGTGAGCAAACTGTACCTTAAAACATAGCAAGAATGAGAAGATTGTTGCACTGCTGTGGGCTCCTAGAGGGTTCAGGTCCTGTGAGTGTCAGTGCAGTCATATAGACCTGTCATTCTGATGTCTAGTCTCAGCTAAGAATGTGCTACATTGTGTCTCTGTTCTTTCCTTGTGAACAGAGACAAGGGTTGCTTTACACTACTGCCACTAAGAATAACATTTAGCCTTTGAACTTGGAGACTGCATGTCGAAGAACATAGGAAACTGGTCCCATGAAAAACAAGTGGAGTACTGATCTTAGCCAGCCAGTTAAAGCAGGAGATACTAGGAATTAACATTGGTGTAACTTTTTTCAGGAGTTTCGGAAGAACCTGAAAGGTGTAAATGGAGGCAAAGACTTTGAACAGGACATTTTGGAAGACATGTACCATGCCATCAAGTAAGAATCAACCTGTGGTCTCCTTGTATGCAAAAAGCAAACTGGAGTTGTTTGGTCTGGAGAGTATGGAAGGAGACTCGCTGGTCATGTGACTGTTTGCCTCAGACCAACTTCCAGCTCCATGTGGGGCTGTGTTAACAAGTCTGTCACAGTGATTGCACTGGATTTGTATCTTTGGATTCTTGCCATGGTATTTTAATCCACAGAGCTTAAGCTAAAGTTAAAAACCTTACTTCTGTCAACATGCAAAAGAATGGCTGAGCAAGACCAGCACATGTGAAATGCTGTATCTAAGAAGGGTCTGTTCTCCAGACCAAGCCTTTAGACTTCTTTAGAACTTTTTATGTAGTGCTAGAGAGAGTGTCTCACGCCCAGGAGAGCACTGGTGCCCTAACATAACGTCTCAGTTTCACATGTTCTGCTTTTGAGCTTTTCGTAGGAGACTGCTCTTTCCACCTATCTTTTCTGCCATCCCTTGAAGCTTTTGGCACACTGACAAGTATTTGAGGAGAATTCCTGGTGGCTGAGGCCCTTTTGTGCACAAACTAGCTCTGGGTGGGGAGTTTAATAATAATTCAGAAATCTGGCTTATCAGTAAATCCAAGCCCAGCCAATTTGAAGCTGACAGGATAACATCTCTGAGGAGACAGGATGTGACTCTGACTCTCAGCTTTTTTCAACCTGCAGTGGCAGGCAGTGGCTAGGGCTCGAAGCAGGAAAGTGTGATGAGGCTGACCCTCCCTTTTGAGCCTTCTCCGGGAAAGTGGGGGTGCTGTCTGTGCTGAATGTCTAGAAATTCTTCAAGAGGTAGCTCTAGCTTTCAAGTAGAGCTCTAGTTTTGATTGGCCTCTCTCCCTGGAGGGTGTTATTAATGTTTTGAGTAGTACCCGAGAATATTCTCCTATCTTTTCATTATCTAGTGCCTCTATTCCAGTCGATTCCACTTTATCCTCCCTTCACCAGATACTTCAGCTTTTTCAGTATGTTCTATGGCTAAACCAGTTGGTATATCATTTCAGTACTGCTCCATCTCAGTGTTGCCTCAGTGTCATCATTGACATTGAGGAGCTTTTGTTTTCTCTTTATCATTTGGTATGGGGGGGGCTGGGAATCAGGCTGTAATCTGTGCAAAGTAGTGTATGATCTCTTCAGGATCTCAGCATTTCTCTTTTGAACACAATTTAATTTCCTGGGACTTTCTAACTAAACCACTCGCTTGCTTCTGTTGATATTAATCAAATATGGGTTCTTAGAAAAAAAAATCTGCTATTGACTGCAAACATATTTTCCTATATAATCTCAGTAAGGATTGCTCTTGTCAAAATATGCAGGCCCCTGAAACTGAGAAGAGCTTATTTCTTATGCATAAATCAAGAGGGGTTTATGGTTGTTGTTAGCACATGAAAATTACTTTTTTTTTTAATTGTTGCAGAAAGACCTCTACTTTTCAGATTGGCTGCAACCTACTATTCTTAATACATCCGAGACTTCTGTTTGATTATGTGGTCATTTGCAGAGGGTTCTCTTTTGTACAATGTTACCCAAGTCTAGGGATTATGTATTTAGGCTTGATATATATTAACCTGGGATTGAAAGTACTATTTGGCATTAATCACACTTGTTTTATTATTGTATAGCTTTAGTCCAGTTAGAGTAAGGAGCTGTGGTACCCTGGTTATGAATCACCCATCATACATTTCTTGTTTTATCTTTAATTTTGTACGACTTGGCTTTCTTCCACTTGATTTTGACATAATAGGAATCTTTGCATTATTCTTATACTGCAACATGCCTAATGTTGACTGCAGTGGTCTAATGATTTTTTTTATCTGGGAGTAATGAGATATGCAGAGCACTCTAATGGGATGAGAGTTGGGATGGGGGGTGAAGCTGTGCCAGTGGGGGAGGCTGTAAGCTCTGCCAGTGTGCTGTCCAAAATTTCCCATCATTTAACTACAGTATGTGTTGCACTTTGCACTTGCAGTGTAAGGTAGCTGTTTCTTCAATACTGTCCTTACATGGTTGCTGCTGGGTGCTGCTGAAAGCCACCAGACTTTATATCCAAGATAGCAGAGAGGGGCAGGGGAAGCAGGCAGGCCTAGAAAAATAGAATGTTTCAGGAGCTGGCAAAATCACTCCAGAGTAGGTATTGCCTAGCTTTGGGACGATGTAATGAAAGGCACTGTGTAAATGTTATGTTTGGCGCAGAATGAAAAATTCAACCTTTCTGCCTTCCTCCCTTGTAGAAACGATGAGATAGTGATGCCAGAAGAACAGACGGGCCTGGTAAAGGAAAACTATATTTGGAATGTCCTGCTACATCGTGGTGCCACTGATGAGGGAATATTTCTCCATGTGCCTCCTGGAAGCTATGACCATGATCTCTTCACCATGACGTGGGGGCCAACCATTGCAGCACTTTCTTATGTTTTTGACAAGAGTTTAGAAGAAACAATCATCCAGAAGGCTATCTCTGGTTTCAGGTAACTCTTGCAATCATAAAGGTGCAGAGGAGTTAAAGTGTGGCCATTGTCTCCTGTTTACCTGCTAGAGACATCACAGTGAATATCAACTGTTATTTTTCTTAGTACTCGAAGAACATTTTATTATGACCTATGGTCCTCTAGTTTTTGTTCTGTCATTTGTATTGATTCATCCCATCTTCGTCTTTCTTGGTTGCTGCTCACTGTTTGGCTTGACTGCTGTATTGTAATATATCAAAGTGCCTGAGGTATGTAGTTTTAAACTCCAGCCTGGTTACATTTAAAAGATCTGCTGACATAGCTGTGCTGCTTAGAAGTGAGGAGAAAGTCACTTTTAACTTGCACAGTGATGCTGGCAAAATCCCTGTATATGAACAAAACCTCTTGTGTATGAGGCCATAGCAAAATTTGTGATCTTTGGAGACTGTATTAGAACAATCTTCACTCATGCTTAAATCCAGAACAGATGACGTCTTAAGCATAGTTTTAAAGCTCTGTTAATATACTGCTGTAAGCATAACCTCTTGGAAACTAGACCTTCAACACTACTGCCAATCTCAGCAACTCTCTCTTATGTCAAGACAGGAGATCAGCTATTCTAGCTCAGGTCTGAGTGGTCTGTGTTTAGATTCACTTCTTGAAAGTGACAAATATCAGGATCTATGTATGAGGATAGAGATTATTTGAGGGATAACATTATGTATATATATAAATTATATATAACTTCTATACATCAGTATTGATTACGAGTAAGTGGAGAGGAAGGTCTAAAATGTCGACAGAGAGGCTCTCTGATTTGCTGTCCTGTAGACAGGCTTGTCTGTGTTGACTTACTATGTTATTTTCTGTCATCTTTCCCCAGAAAATGTGCAATGATTTCTGCTCACTATGGCCTTAGTGATGTGTTTGACAATCTCATAATTTCTCTCTGCAAGTTTACAGCCCTCAGCAGTGAGGTAAGTTTGCAAGAAGGGGAAAGAAGCATGGCTTTTAGTCTGTCTGTGCTCTCTTCCTTTGTTAAGCAGTAAAATTTGCTTATTTTGGTTATCACAATATCTGTAGGTACCTAGCAGTCCCTGCCCAGAGTTTTCTGGAGGAGGCAATGAAAAGTGAAGTAGGACTTCCATAGCACAAATATGCAAATTTGTCCTCACAAGTGGCGGTTCATGCAGAGCAGAATGCTGTGATGTAGAAATGTTCAGTCCAAGTGTTCCCTATGATCAAGACAGTGATCATCCATGATCCCAAGCAAGTTTATGCATTTCAGCCATTGAGTATTTAGTTACAGGGATTATGCGGTGCCAAGAGGACTGTTTTGTGAGGTGTTCTTCCAAAGTGTAGAGCCTGTGCATCCACACAGCATAAGAGTATTAGAAAAACAAATAACTGACTTGTTGTTTGGTGCGTGGAATCTGGTAATAAGGTGGGATGTTAGCCCCACTTTCAGAAAGCCCTATTCCATGGAATGTACTGTGAGAATAAATTCAAGGTATTCAAGGTTGATGTAAGCTTTTTTTGCCCAGATCTGTTGGTGTGTTACAGCATTCGCCTGTTTTTCCCCAAGTTATTTGATAGTGTGTGGCAGACTGTGCTTTTGTGCTAAGGAGAAGGCAACAGCAACATCTTTAGAGGGTCAGTGCTTGCATAGAATCTCACAGCATTGCTCTCAGAACCAGTGCAAGACCCCCAGGGTGCAGAATAGAATTGCCATACATAGAAAAAGGGGAAATAAAATCATTCAAGACTGAAAGCATGGGAGTAAAAAGGCTAAGACAGGTGATTTATTTATTTGTTTGTTTGTTTGTTTATTTTTAGCCCTTGAAGGGATAGCAGAAAATGAACAGTCCTGCAAATTAATCCAGTTAATGGAATTAGGCTGCAGGGAGATGGAATAGCTTGGACTGTGTGTTTTGTGTATTCTGGCATTGGTAGGAGTGAAAAAGTACCAGGTTGACTATTAAAAGACAAAGAAATCCCAAGCAGTGCTGTTGCTTTAGATTCCCTCATCGTCCACTGCTCACAGCAGTAAAGATGAAATGCTTGGTCCTCTCCAGGCATACCAGACTTCGAGAGTTCCAATAGATAAAAAAGCGGAGGAATGTCCACCACAAAATAACTGTTTGACACAGATTTACACAGTAGAAGCAAGTAGACTAAGCCCTCAGAGGCACCAGCTATTGCCAGCTGCATCCCATCTAGTTGTGAAAATGGAATCTGGAGCAGTCCGAGGTCTGCGTAAATTTAAGCAGGCATGTCTTTTGGTGATGACATAGAATCAAGGACTTCTGGATTTGAAGAAAGCTGCGAGTTCTTATCTTTGGCCAGATTCCAAGTACACCAATTACTTTCTGCTGTCCTAAATTCCTGAAAGGCTTGGAGACAGTAGTGGAATAGGACAACTGAACAAATATTTGAGAGACAGTCTGGTGGAAGGAGAGGAGGAGGGGCTGTCTTCAGGGGCTGAGGAGGCAAAACAAAGAGCAACTGTTAGAAAGCAAGGGAAGAACATCAAAGTGTCACTTTAGCTGCTTGTCACTTTCCAAGTCAGATCATCCTGGTGATCAGGCATCTTCTCCAAGCACTGCAATCAATATGCATGGCGACTTTGGTTGAAAGAAGAGGAATGGAAAGGAACATGGAGGGGGATCAAGTGATGTAAGAAGAGACTTCTTGATTAACAGTTAAGACTCATACTGATTCAGTGTATAAGTAGTAGCAAAACCCATGTGTGTTTTAATTCTGTGGTTGTGGCTTGTTGCCATAGTGCAAAACCATGCATATTGCTGTTTGCACTCTGAGACTTCAGTGATGTCAGTATTAATGTGGTTTCCCCATAGCAACAATGGAAAAAACAAATTGATTGTTACATTTCTGCCAGAGTTCCAGATAGGTGCTTCTGAGGGAGTTCACCTCTGTATCAAAGACCCATTTTGATAATAGCTTTTCCAGCACTCTGACCGAAGCAAGACCTATTTTTTCTGAACTTCCAGTCTGAGATTGGAAGATCCGTGTTTTCAATCCATCCTATCTCCTGTCTTCTCTCTCCTTTCTTGATGAAGGAATAAGTATGGGGTTTGTCCACAGAAGCAAGAGAATGGCAAAGCCCATCTCCTGTCAAAAGGAACATTAAGTAACTGCTGAAACATGGAGCATGTCAGTGTCTGATACTAGCTCACATGACTGCTGAGTTTTTTCTTCTTTTGGCAGCATGTATTTGGTTTGTTTTGATGACTTAGCACACTTTTTTTAGTTTAAACAGTTGTGAGTGCATTGAACAGATTATGAGGAATTGTGATCCAGCAATTATTGGCAGAGACTCTATGTCAGGGTTCCTCACTCATACTTCGAATATTGCTGTTAAGTAGTTGTAGGAGTAGCTTTGCAAGTCAGTAATGCTTTTGGCCATAGTTTCCTTCCATAGCAGCAGAGCATAATAATCGCTGTTTCCAGAGGAGCTTTTTTTGAGGAAAGATTTGATCCAGGAATGAGTTCCCATGGCAGAATAAACTAGAGTTAGTGAGTTTTCAGCAAGTGCTTCCAAAATATTCTGTATTGTCGTTCTTGGAGAGCTTATGTCTAGGTGGTTCAGCAATTCATCTTGTATCGGGTAAGCTGTTTTGTCCTTGGTTCTGTGCAAAGTGAATATGAGCCGAGGAGTTATCCAAGCATCGTACACAGAATTGTTGTCTTTTCCATACCCAGTTCTGAACAGTCTGCCCTAATTTGTGTTGAAAAGAAAACATCTCTTGCTGACTGATTGCCACCCCCTCTTCTTTCCTGCAGTCTATTGAGAACCTGCCCACTGTTTTTGGAAGTAATCCCAAGGCCCATATTGCAGCAAAGACTGTGTTTCACTTGGCCCATCGCCATGGTGACATTCTGCGGGAGGGCTGGAAAAACATCATGGAGGCCATGTTACAGCTTTTCCGAGCAGAGCTGCTGCCTAAGGCCATGGTGGAGGTAATAATAGCCAGCCTGTGGGTAACTGAAAAGTAGGGGAGTGGGAAGATGGCTTTTCATAGCACCAGTTCAAAGAGGAGGAGAGCTCTCTTGCAAAGGCCTGGCATTGGTAAAGTTTGTACAGAGCTAGGAGGCCTGCAAAGGGTGTAGTGTTCAAAAAAGGCTCCAGCCTCTTTCATTAGGGTTTAATTTTTTTCTCATTTTACTTTCTGTTGTATTTAAGAAATTCCAGCATTCATTTTACTTTAACAGATTTTGAAGATTGTACAGAAGGAGGACATGCTTACAGGCATGAAGTGTTAGAGCACAGTATTGGTATTGCTAAGATAAGGGTGACACTTCACTGAAGGGGTGAGGGGGTAAAGAGGTGGGGTTGACTACCTTCATATGGGTGGTTGTGCATAGTGTTTCATCGCTAAGTGAAACATTAGAGGCTTGAGAGGCAAGGCTTCAAAGAAGTAGACAATTGATGATATACCTGTTCTGGTCCATCTTCAAGGTCGAAGACTTTGTGGATCCTAATGGCAAAATCTATCTGCAACGTGAGGAGACACCATCTAACCGGTGAGTGATGTAGATGGCCTAGGCAGTCCTTTTTGTACCAAAGCTGGAGAATATGAATTCTTAGTTTTCACTGGTGCTGCTGTCTTCTGATTTGCAGTGGTGAATCTACAGTGCTGAGTTTTGTTAGTTGGCTCACCCTCAGCGGGACAGAGCAATCTGGTATGAGAGGGCCATCTACAGAGACGCAGGAGGCAAAACGAGCAGCTGTGGAATGCATAAAGGTAACATACAGGCTGAGAAAGAACTTGCTTTTGTTCGTGGTGACAGTACTGTGTGGCTAACAGGCCACAGAAACATAAATATACATGCTTCTAGGCAGTTGCAGGTTCCAGAGGATTTGGGAATTGTAAAAAACTACAGAGAAGCATATCTCCACTGACAGCTTGCACACTGCTATGCACAAATGTAGTAATAAATGAAACCAGGAACGATTCCCCACAGGAGGCTGGGATCTGCAGTCCTACATTTGAAGACAAATTTAAAAATTCTCAGATGACTATTTTTTTCCAAGACAGTGTTAAGGCATATGGAGCCAGCAAAATCTGAACCTGGACTTTGAGTAGTGGATGGGTAGAGGAGTTATCTGTTAAAATCTGTCTGGCATAGATCAGGTCTGTTGAAGGTATTGATGTTAAAGGAGTGAACTGGCTGGCAGGAGTTTTCCTCCAGGTAATTGTGTTAAAGACACTATCTGTATCTTCCCTGGGAACAAGCTGTTTCTGTTTGTATGCCTTCCCCATCCTGCGGATGCACAGTCCTCTTTTCTGTCTTTTGCAGCAATGTGATCCTGAGAAGTTGATCACAGAAAGCAAATTCCTCCAACTTGAATCCCTCCAGGAGCTCATGAAGGTGAGAGAGAGATTGGACTGGTGATGGAACAAGTATGCTATGCATGATAATGGATATATGCTGTGTACTCACCTAGCTCCTCTGTGCCCGAAGGAAGTCTTGGACCTACCTGGGACATGAAACCAGTCATTAGTTCAGCTGTTACATGTAACGTCTGTGCCGGCAGCCACAGTTGCTTTAGTAGGAGAGGAAGACATTAAATTGTGGAATGTATTCTAAAAGCCTTGAGGAAGTCATGTTAAGTGTTTGAAAATACGTGTAGCTCTGTGTAGGAGCTTAAGGTTATGCTTTTTCGTCTTTTCTGATGTGCTCTGTCCTAATGAGAACATTTTAAAAGGCCATTTTAGAGGCAAGAGCTGTACAGAAATATTTACCTGTGTGCCCCTAGGTAGTGTGGTACCTGGCTGCTGTGGCAAGTGTAATAAGGCTGGACTCACTAGCCTTTGGGCTAGAAGCTTATCTCCCTGGGGCAGGGTAGTTAGTTACCTGGGTTTGGTAGTGACTTCAGGGTAGTGTGGAGTGTGAGACTGCTCGAGGGTATGGAACCCCAGACTGCTGTTCACCATTTCCAAAAGCAAATAGTGCAATGCAGCTGTTGCAAGGATGCTGTGTGGGCTGGCAGTGTGTGTTGCCTAATTTTATGGCTCCTTAAAGTGCAAATGCCTTTCCCTTCAGGCTACTGTAATTGCAATTCACTGGCTTCATCAACAGGGTTCATGACACTGTTGAGACTTGTGCTAAAACAAAGGAAAGGTTTATTTATCAAGGGTTGCTGCAAGGGTTCTGAAGAATAGGTATTGATTTTCAAAATAAAGATAAGTGGGTAAACTCCGAAGAACAAAACTTAAAACAGCTGAAGTGGAACTTGGTGATTGTATCACACAGACCACTGTGTTGCTGGCACACGTGAAGAAATGGTGACTTAGTTTTTGAGTGTCGCCTCAGTTCTGGAGGAACATTTTGCTCTTACCCCTATTATGTCAGAAATTCTCACTTTATATGCACGCTTGAGAGGAATAGTTCCAGTACTTGCAGTTATTCCTAGGTATGTCTGCCTTTTCTGTGCCTCATATTCTTAGCAAGAAGCTGTTGGCTTTCACAATTCCTCTCCATCTGAGAGACTTCATCAGAGTTTAACATTTTTTAAGTTCATCTTGCATAATAAAAAAATAATAATTTTCTATATATTTAGCTTGAGCTCTGTCCAATGCATTTTTGATCGACTGTGCATGACCTTACCAGATAGTGAAGTGCAGCTAAGCCCAGACTCAAACCATTCTGTTGGTCCTCACTTCTTGGTCCCCCAGTTTTGGGGGCTTATGATTCACAACCATTTCCTGCTTTTTCTAGGCTCTAATCTCTGTGACTCCTGATGAGGAGACATATGATGAAGAAGATGCTGCCTTCTGCTTGGAGATGCTTCTGAGGATAGTGCTAGAGAATAGGTATGACCTTGAAATACATGCAGATTCACTGTAAATGTCCCTGCTTTGCTGCAGCTGCTGCCTGGGTCCAGGGAATGAGTTCCTTATGTGCTTGATTTGCCAGCTGAAGCAGCATGTGGCTGTAATTTCAGGGTTTAGCAATTCCACTCTACCATGTGCAAACAGAGGGGCTATTCGCCCATGAATTATTGCTTGATATCCTGAGATTTGGAGAATATAAACTAAACTCTGGAGGGAGAATTCTCCCACCTGATTGCTTTGCAAGTAAAGAACTAAATAAGAAATTTGATGGCTTTGTTGTTTCTATGTGTCTGTTCTTATATCTCGCAGCTGGAGTTCTTTGTTGAAATGAAGAAATACTGGCTTTTCACGAGCACCTG